GGGGGCCCCAGCCTGCGAGGGGGCACAGGCCGGGCTGAGGGCCCCCTCCCCGCCGAGTGCACAAATTTTTGTGCACCGGGCCTCTAGTACCTCAATAAAGTCGAACCAAAAAAATAAATCTGGGCAGCTACAGTGGTCATGTGTAGTTGGACCTTGGTCAAGTGAAAGTGAAAAGTGGCCAGGCACCCTTTCCTCTTTTTTGCTAGAAACGGGAAATGCAAGCTGCCTGTTATATAGAAGTAAAAGCGAGAGTCCTTTTCTCTTTCCTCTCTATACCCAAAACTGGGAATCAGGGAACTAAGATTTCCCCTCCGAAATCAACTAGCAGATTTGATGTGCACAGGCTGAGATCGGTGGGACTGAACCCAGACACCGTCTAGAAATAACATGACTGAGAGCGTGGGTACCCCTTGCTCTTCCCAAGCAAATGAACAAGCAGGGGCAGTGCTCCAAGTTCTGCCCGTTGGGAGGCTTTCCCCTCACCGCTGTCCTTCGGGGATGTCCAGCAAGAAGCTGCAGTGCCTCTCCAGTGGATCACCTTTGGGCGGTGTCTGCAGATCACGCAGAACCATCTTTAAACCAGACATGAGTTTTTCTCCTCCTCATTCAACTGGACATAGGGAATTCCTCGTGAGGTCATAGGTGTGTGGCTGGGAGTAAGAAGGCAGTGTAGCAAGCGTAGGGGCCGTGGGCATTTGGGTCACTTCCTCACGTAACTTACTTGTGCTTTCAGGGCCTGCTTGGTCCTGTCTCATGTAAAGGGTGTCCCAAAATTCATGCAAGAAGTAATTTTGATAGAAAACACAGGTTTATAATTAAAAATTGTAAATTTGTTATTGATTCATAAAGTATACAGTATAGGGTTATGTATGGAATAGCATATCGGGTAAATGGCCTCCACAGCTTTGCTGGCACATACACACTCTTTTGTTATTGCCTGAGCAGCCGCATTTTCGAAGAAGAATGGTCCGATGATGCTTCCAGCCCAAAATCCACACCAAACAGTGACATGTTGCGGATGCATTTGTTTCTCAACAATCACTTGTGGATTTTCTGAACCCCAAATGCAACAATTTTGTCGATTAACAAAGCCATCAAGATGAAAATGAGCCTCATCGAAATTCAGCCACATTTATGGAAAATTTCAACAAAAGAGTGCGTATGTGCCAGCAAAGCCGTGGAGGCCATTTACCTGATATACTATTCCATACATAACCCTATACTATATGATTTATGAATCAATAAAAATTTTACAATTTTTAATTATAAACCTGTGTTTTCTATCAAAATTACTTCTTGCGTGAATTTTGGGACACCCTTTATAACACCTCCATTCGGTGATGGCTTGGTAGGTCATACAGAGGTGGAAGGGCTGCTTCTCCTGGCAACAAAGGGGTTCTATACCCCCAGCTTCCTTGGATCTTCCCATATGTCCCCGACCCAATTTTCAGGATCTCTTTTTCCCCAGTCAATGCCCTCACTTTAACAGAAGATACCCTGCAAGGCTGTGGATTTGGTTTGCATTATGATTTGGCCACTGCAGGTTGAGAGGTGGTTTGGTTTTCAGAAATCTTAGTCTCCTGGCCACAGGAGATAGATTTCTTTAAGGACAGATCTAGAAGTTTTCATGTCACTCATGCAAAACTTGAGCGGACAATCTGAAGCCCTGAGCTAATCTTCTTCTTTGCTCACTTTCTCTAGGACAATGGAGAGCCACCAGCCAATGTCATTACACACCTCAGATTGACTAAAGCATCTTAAAGTATCAAATGCATGGATGGTCACCCAGAACCTTGCCTTTGTAAGTATTTGATTAAGAGCACACATTGGCAATATTTTCCCTATCTCTATTGCTACATCACAACAAGATGACAAACTTTTTATCACCCACAGAAGTTTCATCATGCCCCATTGTATTCAAACCCTCTCTCCACCCTCAACCCAGGCAACCACGGATCTGATTTCTGTCACTGAAGATTAGCTTGCATTTTTTACAACGTTCTATAAATGCAATCACCCAGTGTATCCTCTTTCTCACTTCCTTCACTCAGCATCATTTTGAAATTCATCTGTGTTGTAGCACGTGTTAAGAGTCGGTTCCTTTTTATTGCTAAGAGTATCCCACTGTATGGGTATTCCACAGCTTATGTACCCATTCACCTGATGATGGACGCCTGGACTGCTTCAAGTTTTTGCACTATTACAGATATAGCTGCTATGAATAGCAGAAAGAGCTGCTATTATGAACAAAATTTTGTATGGACATTAATTTTATTTCCTTTTTAAAAAATGTCTTTATTGATATGAGAGAGAGGAAGGGAGAGGGACACAGAGAGAGAAACATCGATCAGCTGCCTCCTGCACACCCCCTACAGGGGACTGAACCCCCAACCCAGGCATGTGCCCTGACCAGGAATTGAACGAGTGACCCCTTGGTTCATGGGTTGATGTGCAACCACTGAGCCACACATAGGAGTGGGATGGCTGGATCACATAGGTGTGTGTTTAAACTTTGAAGACTCGGTCAAATTGTTTTCCAGAATGGTTATATCGTCTCTTCAAGTTAAAGCTGTCACCAAATAGCCCTTCATTGATCATGTGGGTCAAAATCTTTGTGTGAAAAGAAATCAGTGTTGAAATGAAATCTTGACATGCTAGTCTGACACATATAATGAGGACTGAACCTCCTCCAGGCGTTTCTAAGAGCGGTCAGAAGACAGATGGAGGGGGACATTCCACCCAGCCTAAGGGGTCAGATACTGTTTAACACCCCAACCCCAACCCTACACCCAATCTTGGAAAACAGCTTGAACCAAGCCATCCTCAAGAAACCTGAGTCCTCGGAGTCAGGCAAGCTGGGCTGAATCCCACTCGGCCACATCACAACAAGATGCAGGATTTGATCCTAGATTGGATCTTGCCTGGAGGGAAAAAGCTATGATAAAGAACATGATTGAATCAACTGACTAAGCGGGAATACCCATGAGTAGATTAGACACCAGTGTTAACTTTCACACGGAATCTACTGATATTGATAACTGCACTTTCTTGCTATTTGACTGTGGCCCAGTGACTTAACCTCTGGGCAGCTCTGCTGGCTCATCCATAAAATTCAAATATGGATAGTGGCCTCCTTACTGAAGTGTTGCTATGAGGTCTAATCAAGTCAGTGGTTGGCAGAGAAATGGATGCTCCCGAAAGCCATGCTTGTCGGTGCAGATCCTCCTGCTAGACAGGCAAGGATCCCAACAGCCTTGGGCTTTTGAAGTTATGGAATCAGGGCCTCCAGAGGGGCTTCTAGGACCTCTGCTCCCTCCTTCCCAGCCTGAACCCACTTCAGAGGACACCTAGGGATACAACTTAGGAGAAGTTCTCTTGCTCCCACTCCAAGGTCCAGATGTCTTACCTGCTACAGATTCCGCCAATGAACGAACGGACTACTTGGCCAGAGGGGGAAGTTCAGAGTATTATACTAACAATAAAGACTTCTGCAGGAAACAAATGAAAAAGCAAGGCCATTTGGGTGACTCCTTGAGGAGGCGGAGACTCTCTAGATCAGCGGTTCTCAACCTGTGGGTCGCGACCCCTTTGGGGGTCGAACGACCCTTTCACAGGGGTCACCTAAGACCATCGGAAAACACATATATAATTACATATTGTTTTTGTGATTAATCACTATGCTTTAATTATGTTCAATTTGTAACAATGAAATTGGGGGTCACCACAACATGAGGAACTGTATTAAAGGGTGGCGGCATTAGGAAGGTTGAGAACCACTGCTCTAGATCATGACTTCATGCAAAAATAACCCGATTGTATTTGCAAAGAGGAACTTGGGAAGGAAACACAAGAAATTAATCAAAGTGGTTTGAAGGAGGACAGGAGAGTAAGGTTTTGCACCGTCTACTTTTTGTTTGTTTTTAGCTTTTAAACTATTGATTTGAATAGAATTTCAAACAGAGAAAGATGGCAGGACTAAGAACAGCACATACAGAACTCATACTGTTGCCACTGTCACTGACTGTTGCTAACATTTTGCCCCACAGCATTTTCCTGTGTGCTTGCAGGCATATATTCTCTCTCTCTCTCTCTCTCAATTACTTAAAAATAAATTGCATAGTCCATGGCTCTTCATCCCTAAATATTTCAGTGTGTACTTCCTGAGAATAGGGATGATGTATTACATAACCACAGCGCAGTTATCAATGTCAGTAAATTCTGTGTTGACATTAACATTTGTGTCTAATCTGGGTATTCGGCTCAGTCAGTTTATCCCATCATGTTCTTTATAACAAGTTTTTCCCTCCAGGCAAGATCCAACCTAGGGTCATATCCTGCATCTGGCTGTCATGTCTCCTTACCTCCTTTAATCTGGAATCGTTTCTCAGCCTTTCTCACAGTGACATTTTTGAGGAATAGAGCTCCCCTCTTCCTTTTTCTTTTTATATTAATTTCTGAGAGGAAGGAAGAGGGAAAGAGAGTTAGAAACATCGATGATGAGACAGAATCATCTATCCTCTGGCTCCTCCACACCCCCCACTGGGGACTGAGTCTGCAACCGGGCATGTGCCCTGACCGGGAACTGAACGGTGACCTCTGGTTCATAGGTTGGCGCTCAACCACCGAGCAACACCAGCCAGGCAAGCTCCCCCCTTTCTCAATAGAGCATTCCACATGTTGAGTTTGATGAGTTGTCATCTTTGGATTTGGGTTATGCCTCTTGCTAGAATAGTGATATTGTGTCCTTCTCAGGACATCACATCTGGAGGCACGTGATGTCCACCTGCACCCTCATTGAGGATGTTAATTTTGATCACTTTGTCAAGGTGTTGTCCAATTTCTCTGCTATATAATTACTATTGTTTAATAAGTAGCCTGTGTGGAGACACTTTAAGACCATGAAAATATCCTGCTTGTCAGTAAAATTCCTCACCCTTAGACTTAGTGTCCATTGATGGCTCTTGCTTGAACCAACCTTCACTATGATGGCTGCACAGTGATTTTCCAACTCCAGCTCTGCCTCCACTTGGACCTGCTGGCCTCCAGTCCTCTCCTGGATGCAGAGCCCTCCCCTCTAACCTGTCTATTGTCTTACTTGCTTTCTTACTTACTATCAATATGGAGTTGTTTCTCAATATGTATCTTTGATTTTGATCAATGATTCACATTGACTCCTGTGACTGTATTTCTGATGCAATAAGAATAATGTGCAGTGACCTGCAGTGACCTTCATAGGGTCACAAATTTCTGTAACTCTTGAAGCTATTGCTATTTCATGTCCTCCTGTAGATCTAACTCTGCCTTAGACTCTGGCATTAATAGAAGGGCCCACCCTCTCCAGCCTAACACTCAAATAGGTCACACTGACTTCAAAATCCAGATTACACCTCCAGTGGCGCAATCGGTTAGCGCGCGGTACTTATAGGTCACACTGACTTCAAAATCCAGATTACATTGGCCCTCGCAAATACATACCCCCCATGACAGGACCTCAGCACTAGTCTTCCTGACCCTCATCTCCTAAAGCCTATTCAGTGCATGATGAGGACCTGACATGGTCTCATGTGTTGTCATCAACAAGGCTGCAGTATTCTTCCTTTCCATCCCTTCATGGTATCCTTGGCCTGCACGGCTACCCTAGGCTGCCCCTTATCACTGCCATGGCTGCATATGTTCCCTGTGAACGTACTGCTCACTGGAGCCAGGATGCTCTCCCCAAGGGCTCCCAACACTGCAAGACCTTTGATGTGAATAAGCCTATGCCTGGTCTCATGTCCATGGGGCTGAGGCTCAAACAGAGCCATCCATATTGCTGGACTTGGTCCCATTAGATCATGAGACCGTGGAGACCTACAGTCAGAAGTTCATGTATTAATAGCAATTCATTCCTGCCAAGGACTCCACTCTGATGCTGATGCCAAAGACCTCTGACGCTGTTCTCTGCCCTGGATCCTACTTTCCCACAGACGGGTCCAGACCTTAACAGTGGTAACCAGGTCGCTGTCCACACTGTGCTATACCCAGGACTGGACTTCTCCTTTTGCATGTTGAGTCGACATGAGGCTGGAACTCAGCCCCACCTCTGTGCAGCCTGACCAATGTTTTAGAACTTTCTGTTTTAAAATGTATATACTGACCCTGGAAAGGAAGAAGTAAAGCCATCTCACTATGATGATGGCATGATTTTACAGAAAATCCTAGATTTATAAAAACAAAACAAACAAAAAAACTAAAAAAACACACACTATTAAAGCTAGTAAAAGATGAAGAATATAAGATCAATATATAACAATCAGTTGTATCTTTATACTCTACTAATGAACAATCTGAAAATAAAAGTAAGGAAACAATTTCATTTACAACAGCATAAAATTAAATACTTAGGAATAAATTTAAGCAAGAATGCATGAAATTTGTATATCAAAAACCACAAAACATCATGGGAAAAAGTTAAAGAATACCTAAGTAAATGCAGTGTTCATGGATTGAAAAACTCAATATTGCTAAGATAGCAATACTCCCCAAATTGATCTACAGGTTCAATGCAATCCCTATTAAAATTTATTTTCCATTTATTGATAGTGTCCTTTGACCCACAATAGTTTTATAGTATTAGTTCTTAACAATTGGGCCCTTAATCCATTTTGAGTTAATTTTTGTATCTCACATGAAGTAGGAGTCCAAATTTATTCTTTTGTATCTGGTTGTCCCTGCAACATTTGCTAAAAAGGCTAATATTCTCCCACGGAGTAGTCATGGCACCCTTGTTGAAACCACTTGCAATCATACTCCATTTATCTATTTACAATCTTAAACAGAAGAATACAGCTGGAGGCCGCATACTTCCTGATTTCAAAACTTACTACAAAGTTACAGTCATCAAAACAGTGGAATGCTGGCCTAAGACAATAATGGAATATAATTAAGAGTTCAGAGCTAAAACTGAAAAACTTTAGGCAGGAAACAGGTACAAATCTTTGTGACTTTGGATTAGACAATGGTTTTTTAACTATGACACCAAAGCCACAAAAAACAAAAACAACTTATAAATGTACCTTTATCAAAGTTAAAAACTTTTGTGTGTGAAAGGACACCAGCAAATAATTAAAAAGGAAACCACAGGATGGATAAAGTTATTTGCATATCACATATCTGATAAGAGACTGGTGTCCAGAATCTATATATATAAAAGCCTAATATGCAACGTGTCCCCTTGGGATTTTGACTACCCGTGAGTTTGATCACTCACTATGACGTGCACTGACCAACAGGGGACGGCATGGAATGAAGGGAGGCCCCGGCCAGCAGCCAGCAGCCTAGGGACCCTACCTGTGCACGAATTTTGTGCACTGAGCTTCTAGTATATAAATAACGCTTTTAAGAATAAAAAGCCAAATAACACAAAATTTTAGAAAGGCAAATGTTCTGAATAGATACTTCCCCCAAAAAATACCCAGTAAAGTAAATTTCCAAATGATGTGGAAAGATACTCAACATTGTTATTCATTAAAGAAATGTAAACATAAATCATAATGAGTCATCATTTCATACCCTATCAATTTTTTAAAGGAAGGAAACTAACAAGCATTGGTAAAGATGTGGAGAAATTGAAACACTCATACAACATTGGTAGGAAAGTAAAATGGTGCAGCTTTGTGAAAAACAGTTTGGCAATTCCTCAAAGAGTTAAACATAAAGCTACCATACAATCCGGAAAGTTCACAACCCAAGAGAATTAAAAATATATGTCCAAATGAAATGTGTACATGAATGTTCAGAGCACCATTATTCATAATAGCCAAAAAGTCAAACAACCCAACTGTCCATCAACTGATGAATGGATAAATGAAATGTGGTTTAACCATACAATGGGATTATGCAACCATTACTTAATCAGTTATTTAACCTTAAAAAGGAAGTACTGACATGCCACAACATGGATGAATCTTCAAAATGTGCTAAGTGAAAGAAGCCAGACACAAGAGATCACATATTGTATGATTCCATTTACATGAAATGTCCAGAATTGACAAAACCATGGAGACAGAAAGTAAATTAGTGGTTGCCAGGGGATGGAGAGAGGTGGGGAGTGGGATTGATTACTAGCAAGCATGGCATTTCTTTCGTGGGGGGTGGTGATGGAGATGTTCTGAAATTGGATAGTAATGATGATTGTACATTGTGAATATTCTAAAAACTTCTGAATTCCACAATTTAAAATCATAAATTTTTGCCTGGTCAGTGTTGCTCAGTGGTTGAGCATTAACCTATGAACCAGGACGTCATGTTTCCATTCCCGGTCAGGGCACATGCCTGGGTTACAGGCTCGATCCCCAGTAGGGGGCCTGCAGGAGGCAGCCAAACAATGATTCTCTCATCACTTGTTTCTATATTCCTCTCTCTCTCACTTCCTCTCTGAAATCAATAAAAATACATTTAAAATAAATAAATAAAATAGTGAATTTTACGTTACATGAATTTTATCTTAATTTCAAATAATCATAATTATTTATAACCGGTACATTAATCAAATACAATTTTTGATAAAATAAAAATACAACTTAAAAAATACATTATCCTTTAATATCCCTTCTAACTCCAAAATTACCTGAACCTACCCTTGATAGATTCCAGGTAGGAAGCCTGGTGGTGGGAGGAGGAGGGATTAGTGAAGACTCCATCTCCCACCTTCCTCCAACCTACTTTTGGTTTCTCATGAGAAGCACCATTTCTGCCTGAGACGCATGGAAAGAGGTGTAGATATAGGTGAGTTCCTTTTAAACTTATGTTCTCCTCTAATTTTAACAGGAATTCTTAGACTTTGGTGGCCAGCAGAACCACCTGATGAGCTGATAAATGTGCATATTCCTGAGCCTCCCTCCAGAGGCTGATTCCATGGGTCGGTGCATGGTGCTTGGAGTAGAACTGTCATATATAACACTTTTCTTTTCCTTATGCTAAAGAAAGTAGAAGGGATTAATTGGTTATAAGTTTTTATGTAAGGTGTGGTTGTTATTGGTAGTTAGATAATTTAGAACTGTGTTTCTCAATCCAAAATATATTGAGGACCAGAAAGATAAGTTTACTAGGGTTGAGGAGGCCAAGGAGATGGGGAGGGAGAGCAATGACGGGCAAAGGGGAACCAAACTAGAATGTAACTCAGAGTGGTTTAGGTTCTGGCAACATTCTCCTTCATATTCCTAAGGCCTCCCGGGCCCAGACTAGGAGTACCTCTCAATTTTTGAGTAAATGAATGAATGACCAACAGAAAAGTGGAGTGATTTTTGTAGATGCCCAATATCCCCTTTATTTTTAATTTGCTGAGAGTTTATGTCATGAATGGGTATTGAGTTGTGTCAGGTGCTTTTCTGCATTTATCAAAAAGGATCATGTAGTTTTGTCATTATTCTGGTTAATATGGTGAATTATATAGATTATTTTTTAAAAGAACAATTCTTTTTTAAATCGATCATTATTGATTTCAGAGAGGAAGGGAGAGGCAGCGAGAGATAGAAAAATCAATAATGAGAGAGAATCATTGATCGGCTGCCTCCTGCACGCCCCACAATGGGGACTGAGTCCACAACCCGGGCATGTGCCCTGACCTTCAGAATTGAACAGTGACCTCCTGATTCATAGCTCAACACTCAACCCTGAGCCATGGCAGTCGGGCAGATTAATTTTTCAAATATTGAACCAATCTTATATTTCCTGGATAAAGACCACCTGGTCATGGTGTATTATCCCTTTTAAATATATTGTTGGATTTGATTTGCTAATATTAGGTCAAGGGTTTTGTTTCTATGTTCATGAGGAAGTTTGGTCTGTCATTTTGGCGGGGGGGGGGGGGGGGGGGGGTGAGGGTTGCAATATTTTTGTCTGGTTTTGGTATCAGGATTGTGCTGGCCTCATAAAATGGTTTGGGAAGTATTCCATCTTATATTTCAGATAGTTTTTATAAGATTCATATCATTTCTTCCATAAAGTTTCACAGAATTCACTAGAAAAGTCATCTAGAGTTTTCTTTCTGGGAAAATTTTTTTATATAGTTAACTAAATTTCTATAATAAATGCAGGACATTTCAATTTGCCATATCATTTCATGTCTGTTTTAGTAAGTTGAATTTTTTAAAGTTTTTTCCTATTTCATTTAAGTTGTTGAATTTAAGATAAAATTAATATATTTCTTTGTTATTCATTTAAAATCTGTAAGATCTGTAGCAATCACCATTCTTTCATACCTGCTGTTGACAGTTTCCGTTCTCTGTTTTCAATCAATCTAGCTAGAGTTTTATTACCTTTACAAATATTTTTCAAACAACCAGATTTTGTTTTGTACATTTTCTCTCTTTTATTTTCTATTTCTTTATTTCTTTCTTTATCTTTATTATTTCCTTCCTTCTACTTACTTTGGGTTTAATTTGTTCTCTTTCCAGTTTCTGAGCCACCGATTTTAGATCATTGATCTATCTTTATTATTTCCTTCCTTCTACTTACTTTGGGTTCAATTTGTTCTCTTTCCAGTTTTTGAGCCACCGATTTTAGATCATTGATTTTTAAACCTTTCTTTTTTCTAATTAAAGCATTTAAAGCTATAACATTTTCTCTAAGCACTGCTTTAGTTACATTTCATGAATTTTGATATGTGCTACTTCCATTATTATTCAGTTCAAAATATTTTACAATTTCCCTTGTGATTCGTTCTTTGACTCATAGAGTCTTTAGAAGTATGTTGTACTTCCAAGTTACCGAGGTTTTTCTAGGTATCTTATTGTTATTCGTTTCAGATATTCTCAGTGTCTAGATGGAGCCCTCAGGCATCCCAGAGTCCACCACCCCTTATGATTATGATTCGCAGAGCCTTTTGTGTGAGACTCAGACCTTCACCTTTGCGACCTTCAACACCACCATCCTGTACTGCCTGGTGTTCTTCCTCAGCCTGGTGGGCAACAGTCTGGTGTTGTGGGTCCTGGTGAAGTATGAGAGCCTGGAGTCCCTCACCAATGTCTTCATCCTCAACCTGTGCCTCTCAGACCTGGTGTTCTCCTTCCTGTTGCCTCTGTGGGCCTTGGTGTACCACTGGGGCTGGGTGCTGGGAGACTTCTTCTGCAAGCTCTCCAACATGATCTTCTCCATCAGCCTCTCCAGCAGCATCTTCTTCCTGACCATCATGACCATCCATCGCTACCTGTCTGTGGTGAGCCCCCTCTCGTCCCTGAGAGTCTACACCCTCCAATGCCGCGTGTTGATGACCACAGCTGTGTGGGCCGTCAGCATCCTGTCCTCCATCCCCGATGCCATCTTCCACAAAGTGTTTGATCCTCCAGAATATTCATCAGAACCTTCGAAATGTGATTATTCAGAACTCAAGTGGTACCTGGCCTCCGTCTACCAGCACATTGTCTTCTTTCTGCTCTCCATGGCGATTATCCTGTTCTGCTACGTGGAGATTCTCAGGACTCTGTTCCGCTCGCGGTCCAAACGGCACCACCGGACAGTCAGGCTCATCCTCACCATTGTGCTGGCACACTTCATCAGCTGGGCTCCCTACAACCTCATCCTGTTCCTGCAAACACTGTTGAAACTTAAGATCATTCAGAGCTGCAAGGCCTACTGGCAGCTGGATTATGCCTTGCTCATCTGCCGTGATTTTGCCTTCTCCCACTGCTGCTTCAACCCAGTGCTCTATGTCTTTGTCGGGGTCAAGTTCCGCAGACACCTCAAAAGTCTGCTCCGGCACTCCGGGCTCTGCCGGTCACAGACGCCCAGCCTTCCCCCGTTACCTCACTCCCCAGGTGCTTTCCACTCTGAGGGCGCCTCCTTCTATTGAAAGGGAGTTTGGCACTGCAGGTTGAGATGGACAGAAGAGATGGAGGGGGAGCAAAGAGAAGTGGTACAAGAAAGAGCATTGCAGAAGGCACAACACTGGGGATGCTACGGCTGCAGGGGTGGGAGATGAAAGAAATACGTTATACCAGGAGGTCCTACTGCAGAAAAGGGGCTCCCTGCCTGGAAATTTTATATTGCCATCAAGAAAAACATTTCTTAGATTCTGAGTTTATTATTCATTCCTTCATTTATTCATTCATTTAGACATGGGTTTGTTATCATTGCTTAGTTCAGAAGGTTCTAAAACATAAAAGGATTCCCAGAAAGGAGCATCCTTCAAGACTTGAGGAGAGGCTGAAACTCATGTGTGATAATTGTGCAAATGTAGGCTGCTGGCAAGACAGTCTCTCCCATTCCTGACTGTACGGTTGTCCCAGCTAATTTTAGAGAGCATTCTTCAGTGATGACTGGATGAGGACAAAAGTACCCGCATCCTCAAATCTGGAATCTAAAAACCTACAACTGGACTGGAGATGTGTTCTGCATCATAATTCCAACTTCTAGCATATGTAGTCCATAGATCTTTTATTGAAAAAAAAGAATGAATTCAATAAGTGCTGCCGTCTGCATGAAGCAAGTACTTGGAGGATATAAAGATAAACAAGGTACCAACGTCCAGCTCCGAAGGCCCAGGCTTGCATCCATCTTGGTGAAGGCAGCCAAGGTGAAGATTCCTCCAATATCTCATTCTCTCCCGGTAGCTATTGATCTGACACTTCAGATTCATCATGTTCCACCTGGAATGTTCTCCTGCTTGGTTGATGGCACCAGCTTCCCCCCGGTTGCTCACCCTCCAAACCTGAGTCATCTTCAAGCCATGCATTTTCTTTCCCTCCACTCCCACGGCCAAGTTCTATTGACTCTGCCTTCCCAGTGCCTCTCAGAGTTGTTCTCGCCATTGCATGGTCATGGATTCGTCCCCAATGGCCTCACTTCCTCAGCATCTTCCTGCTGCTCATCTCTTTCCCCACCAGCATCCTCTGCATTGAAACCAAGCTGCTCAAAACCCTTAGGCAGCTCCTTATTACCTACAAATAAAGCCCACACACCTTAGCAAGTCCTTCAAGGCCCCTGAAATCCACTGCTAGCTAACTTGTGCATTCTATTCCATCCTAAGCCCCCATGCCACCAGCGTGGCGTCCAACCACAAAAGACCCAGTTTCCTCTTGGCCTCTGCCATGCTGTCACCTGGGCCTGGGACACTTGTCCTTCTGCTCCCTAATCTACAAGCCCCAGCTGAAAGGCCATCTTCTTCAGGAAGCCCTCCCCCATCTTTAAATCAGGAGAGCACTCTCTGGTTGTTGTGGCACTTCGCTTGTCCCTGAAAGATATTATTTGTCACTTTCCACCACGTGTCATAGTTACACACATGCATGTCTTTTTAAAAAATATATATTTTATTGATTTTTTATAGAGAAGAAGGGAGAGGGATAGAGAGTTAGAAACATTGATGAGAAACACCGATCAGCTGCCTCCTGCACACTCCCTACTGGTATGTGCCTGCAACCAAGGTAAATGCCCTTGACTGGAATCGAACCTGGGACCCTTGAGTCTGCAGGCTGTTTCTTTATCCACTGAGCCAAACTGGTTAGGGCCACACATGCATGTCTTATCTCCCTGCCCCATCAGACGGCAAACTGGCTGAAGGCAGGCACCTGGTCCTGCACCCTGCCAAGCATGGACCCCGGTGCTCTGTCATTGTGTACGAAGTGCGAGCAAAGAATGACAACTGTCATTATTCTTCTAATTGCTTTTGGGGGATGTGTGCCATGGGGCACTTTCTACCTTCCTTGCCCCAAGCCACTTCTTTATAGATATTAACCTTTCTTTCCTAGTCTACACTCAGAGCACATTGCTTAATCTTCTAGGTGGCAATGACTATATCTGACCTTGCCTTTTAGTTCATGGTACACATGCTTGCCTCTTCCACGGTCCCGTAGCTTCACATCCAAGGACCATCCTCTAACTTTTCCCATACCATCCAGACCTGGTCCCCGTCTGTGAACCTGATTCAGCTCTGGACTGGGGCCTTTAGAAAAGCTCCCCAGCTGATTCTGACATGTACCCTACTTAGAAACATTGGGTGCAACTCCTTGAAAATGGGAATTCCAGAATCTTCCACAGTTCATTGAGCAGGAGTTTGTAGAGTCACTGTGGCACTCAATATATGTTTATTGAATAAAGTAGCGACTAATACAGCCCTCGGCTGGAGCCTGGAGAGCTTATAAAGCATTTTTTCCCTTCAGTTCCAGCTATAATTTCAATACTCTAGTTGCCATTGGGTGGCCAGCCTTGGAGGACATTGACCTTGCTGGGGAAGAGTGAAGGTCTAATTTTAAGAATTGGTCAGTAACACCTGGAGAAGGCTGGGTGGTGCACCAGGGAAGGGACTAGCTAACCAATAGGTGGGCCATCACCCACCATCTATGGAAGAAATAGCCCACCACCTAAGGAAGAAGATGATGAGATGGTTTCGGGGTCTGAGCTAAGCCTATGGGCTTCTATCAGGACAATAATTTGGCACCCCCTTACTTAACTTTTGTTCAACTTTTATTTAAATGGCAGGCTGAGGCCAGGGAGCAGAAAAACAGAGGATTCCAGATTACATACCCACTTGGCCAAACCAAAGCTCCATGGGTTTTGAGCCCACTCTTCTTAGAAGGCAGGCTTAAGGGGTCTTGTATCACCAGAGAGCATGGCCTTTGAGAGGCTTGATCCACTGTCTCCTTACCCCATCCCATTCCTTCAAATCCCAAGATGCATATCTAAGTATTTCTTTCAACACATACAGCCATATCCCTAGGAACAGTTCATGAAATACAATCATGTCCATCTCTGCATTTCTAGTGATGTTTTGGCACTCCCAATAGACTAGCTCTGAAAGTGATCTTTAACCAAGAGTCTTCTCCTAATCCAGTTCCGTGGGAATGCAAGGAAAGAGGCATAGAGACAGAAAGGTAAAAACTGGAAGGTAGAGGGACCCCCTCTCAGAAAGGGAGTGTGGGTGAGGCCAGGGACTGTACTCTACATTCTCTGACCACACCCTTCATCAGCTACAACCTCCTGCTTTCTCCTCCCTCCACCCACTAAAACCACTGTTCAACCTCAGCCGGACTCTTGTGAGCCTATCCCTCCCCTAATAGTTGAAATATAATGCCCTGGTCACAGGTCTGCAGAACTGCCACACCAGAAACATATAAAATCCCCAACGGTACGCAAGGAAGATCCTCTTCACAGCATTTCCAGCTCCACATTCCCTCAAACAAAATCAAGAGGAGAGGAACCTTGCTGATCTCCAAATAGGAACGTGCCTCCAAGCCCAGGGCAGCCCCAGACCTCAGATGAAGTTCCAGCCAGAGTGGAACTTCCTCAACAGCACAATCTGTGTTGCATAACTAGAACCTGCCTTGGTGCCCCACAATATTTGTGGTTGGTTGAGTAAGTGGATAAGGAGACTTTCTTTTTGGTGTGTTTTTTTTTCTACTTCCATTTCCTCTTCTGACACTTGCTTATATTACATCCATCTTCCAGTCAACTCCAGGTACCATTCACAGGCTTCCCATGGGTTCTTCTCCAGAGCCCACCAGCCCAGGCATCACCTGGTTTGTTGAATTCCTGTGGCTTTCATTTGTGAAAGCTGCCTCTGGTGGGACAAAGAAACCCACAAGCATGGAAAGCCCAGTAGAAAAGACCCCCAAAGTAAACTGGCTGAGAAGTCTCTTGGGATTTGAGCCCTGGACTCACCCCAAATCCAAGCTCTTTACTCACTTACTGTGACCTTGGATCTCTCAGAGCCTCAGTGTCCTCATTTGTAAAACTGTATGTCAACAACACAAAGACAGATTCTACGCACACAGTGGAGGTGCACATGAAGTTATGTGTGTAAAGTACTTGCTTTGTAAATCATTCAGACCAGACTAATATGAAATACTATTGTAATCATCTAATAAAAACAGAATCATTGTATCATATGCACAAATAAATCTCTACCCAAGATCATTACATAAGATTCCTAAAAGTTCTCTGCTTATGGGGGGAACTGGGTTAGGATTTGGGGTGAAGGGATGGACACAGAAGAAGGGTTGGAGATAAAGTGTGAAACAAGTCCTGTGTGAATCAGGATGGTGGAAAATTGGCTCCATTTAGGCCTTAGGCAAAATTGTCCGAGGCCAAGTTTGTCTTGAGTGTTCCCTGGCTCAGTTTTTTGTCCCTATCTCTCCTCTGGCCTAACACCCAAGTATCTGTCTCCAAGTCCAGGGCTTTCCCTATCTCTTAATCCAATTGTGTCTGAACAAGGACCAACCAGAAGGAATGATACTGCTTTCTGCTCGGAATTTCTTTTTCATTCATAGGCTTCCCATGGGTTCTTCTCCAGAGCCCACCAGCCCAGGCATCACCTGGTTTGTTGAATTCCTGTGGCTTTCATTTGCGAAAGCTGCCTCTGGTGGGACAAAGAAACCCACAAACATGGAAAGCCCAGTAGAAAAGACCCTCAAAGTAAACTGGCCCCCGGGATGGCCCTTGGCCATCTTTGCTGAAACACCTGTGGATTTGTGGATTGGCTCTGGTGTGGCTGCTCCGCACTTGAGCAGAACCTCGGCTGGGGGACGTAGAGAGGGTGCTGAATTTTGTTATTATAAGTCTTTGGAACTCAAGTGTATTCTGCACTTACAACACATGTACAATAACTCAAACTAGCCACATTTCAAACTCTCAAAAGCCACACATGGACGGGGCTGCTTTCCCAAAACCTTGGTTTGTGTGTCCTCGGAGATTGAAAGGTTAACCTACAGCCAGATGCAAGGGAGAACCAGTAGGCGTTGTCAACCTCGGCTCTGCGGAGCATGCCGGGAGTTGTAGTCTGAGCCGATCTGCCGCTGGAGTCCGATGGGCGTTGTAGGCCTCGGGCTTGTGGTGCATGCCGGGAGTTGTAGTCCGCACCCGCTTGTGGCGGGCTCTGCGTATCATGGCCGTCTCCGCCGCGCACCCGCAGTCTTCCGCTTGGCCCCAGAAAGTTTCGGTTCTGCCCAGCGGTGGACCCACTAGCGCGTAAGTGCCACCGGGGGGCCGGCCGGACCCTGGGGGCGCCCAGGCTGCTCTCGGCCCGG